AGTGGAGGTGCGCAACCGTACGGATGAACAGAGAAGATGATCCACGCGACTCGCCTGGAAGGCGCGTGTAAGCAGGTAGCTCGTCCCTATAAATAGGAACAAGATCTTTCACTCAACATAATCTCTCTAATACTCTGATATACATATTTTTCATCTCTCTCAAGATCTAAGTTGAGCGTTGGAGGCTCTTCACCGGAAAACACCTCCGGTGTGAAAGTTCTGTGCAGGTTCCGCGTTCAACTGGCGAGGAGAACGAGCTCGAGATGGTTTTCAGCTGGTCAGGGCGCGAGACTTGTATTAACCACTGTTGGACTAGAAACTACCTTTGAGATTTGGGATAACTTAGAAACCGCATTTGCAAGTCAATAGAGGGCTAAGATCATGCAGCATAAATTGCAGCTCAAAACTCTAAAAAAGGGAAATTTAAGTATGATAGAATATCTCAACAAGGTCAAGGTATGTTGTGATGGACTTGCTTTGGCAGGACAAAAAATATCTGAGGATGAACAGGTGACTCACATTCTTGCTGGCTTAGGAAGTGAGTATAACCCGATTATGGTATATGTTGGAGCAAGACTTGAGCCTTACAAGCTGAGAAAGCTCCATGCCCTGCTGCTTAGATTTGAGAGCAGGTTGGAGGCTTTTGAGAATCCACAATTTGGTTTTGATGGAATAGGTCCTAATGCCAACTACTCAGCCATGGGAAATGCACGAAAAAGATGAGGCTTTGGAAATAGAAGAAGAGGAAACTCAAATTTCTGGGGAAATAGAGGTGGAAGAACATGTGCAGGAAGAGGAAATGGATCTTTCAGAGGTAGAGGAGGCAGGTTTGGTGGCATAACAAGGTGTCAGATTTGCCACTTTCAAAGTCACTTAGCAGACAAATGCTGGTACAGAACAGACCTCAACTTCATCCCAAACAACCAAATAAGTGGAAGTTCAAACACTGGGAATTTCGGAAATCAGTAAGGGTCATCGATGGCCAATGTTGCTAGCCTGGGATCAAATGATGATGCATCTCAAGCTTATTGGTACCTAGACTCAGGAGCCTCTAACCACATCACTCATGATCTTAATAATCTCAGCATGGCTTCTGAATTTAAAGGAAATGAAAGAGTACTGATGGGAAATGGAGCAGGTCTTGATATAACACACTTTGGTAATGCCCTCATGAGGAGTTCTGGTCCAAATAAATCTCATTATTTTCTTTTAAAAAAATTATTACATGTGCTTGACATCACCAAGAATTTGCTAATTGTATCATAGTTTGCACAAAACAACTCAGTATTCTTTGAATTTCACCCCAAATATTGCCTTGTGAAGGATCAGGAAATAAGAACCACACTGTTGAAAGGGGAGCTTAAGGGAGGACTTTGCTATTTCAATTTGTCAAGCAGTAGGGATGAAGTTGTTGATTGGAATACAAATGAAAGCACTGAAAGGACGAGAAGACCAATCATGGCTTACTCTAGTTCTGTTTCTGAGAATTCTAGTTTAAATTTATGGGATTATAGGCTTGGGCATGCGGTCAGTGCTGTAATTAAGAATGTGTTAAATAGTTTTGAACCACCTTTGGATTGTAATAAGAATCTTGAACCTTGTGGTGCTTGTCTGCAATCTAAGAGTCACAGGCTCCCCTTTTATGATTCAAATACTGTTTATTCTGCTCCTTTTCAACTTGTTTATACAGATCTTTGGGGGCTATCCCCCATCAAATCCCAGAATGGTTTCAGTTATTATATGAGTTTGGTTGATCATCATACAAGGTTTACTTGGATCTACTGATTGAAAGCCAAAACAGATGTTCCAACTGTCTTTTTGTATTTCAAGAAACTAGCGAAAAATCAGTTTAATGATTCTATTAAGGCTATCCAAAGTGTCTCTTGCCCCTACACTCCACAGCAAAATGGCCTGGTAGAGAGGAAACATAGGCACATAGTTGAAACAAGTCTATCCATGATGACCAATGCAGGAATTCCATTAAGATTCTAAGATGAGGCTTTTACCTCTGCTGTATTTTTGATTAACAGGTTACCTACCAAGGTGTTGGCTTACAAATCTCCTTTTGAAAGTTTATATTCTCAACAACCAGATTATAAATATCTCAAGGTGTATGGATGCTTGTGTTTTCCTTATCTGAGATCCTTAAACAAGCACAAGCTAGAACCTAGAAGTCAACCAAGTGTCTTCATTGGATACAGTTCACAGCATAATGAATATAAGGTACTATTGCCTAATAACAGAATTTTTGTCACTAGGCATGTTGTTTTTCATGAGGGAGGATTCCCTTTTCTTAAAAGGTCACTGAAAGAAGGAAGAACACCTCAACTTGATCAACACCCTCAGTCACCACTCTTTATGGTTCAACCTGATGAGAGACCTTCAACACCAACTCACATTTTTTTCGATCAGCACACTAACAACCAACACAGTGACTCAACAACTAATGGTGACACCAATCAGAGAGGACCATCCCCTCAGTCAGTCAGCTCAGGAGGGTCTCATTCTTCCACTATACAAGCAGGGAGGATAACTATTTACCTCCCCATTAAAAATCCTATCAGACCACAACATGATAACTCCCACTCCAGAGAAGCTAGCTCTACTCATCCTATGGTTACCAGAGGCAAGACTGGCATTAGAAAACCTAAGACCTATGCAGCATCTCTATCAAATGACTTTGTGCACAGGTCTCACTCAGAGGCCTAACTTCAACAGAGTGGAAACAAGCCATGGAAAAGGAGTATGATGCCCTCCTAACTAACAAGCCTGGTGCTTAACCAATCTTCCACAATACATGCAAATGGGTTTTTAAATTAAAAAAAGGATGCTTCAGGTAATGTGGTTAGACATAAGGCAAGGCTAGTTGCCAAAGGCTTCACTCAAATGCCTGGTTTGGACTATGGTGACACTTTTAGTCCAGTGGTAAAGCCAGCCACTATCAGATTGATTCTAACCATGGCTGTCACCCACTCATGGCCTCTTAGACACTGGGATGTGAACAATGCATTTCTCAGTGGTGATCTTGATGTAGACATCTATATGGATCAAGCACCTGGATTTGAAAAAGGAACAGGTTAAGACACTACACTTGTTTGCAAATTGAACAAATCCCTATATGGGTTGAAACAAGCCTCTAGAGCTTGGAATTGTAAACTGAACAGAGCCTTGAAGAGCATGAGGTTTGTTACCTCAAGATCAGATCCCTCATTGTTTTTCAGACTTCAAAATCAATCAGTCATCATCCTCCTAGTCTATGTTGATGACATTATTATTACAGGAAATTCAGAAAATGAGATTCAGCACATTATTCATGAATTCCAAAAAATCTTCTCCATTAAGGATCTTGGGAAGCTGACTCACTTCTTGGGTATTGAAGTGTCTTATGGTTATCAGGGAATTGTCTTGAACCAAGAACAATATGTTTCTGAAATTTTAGGCAATCTCAAGATGCAGGAAGCCAAGGGTGTTAGCTCTCAAATAGTATCACATCCTCTGTTGTCCAAGTTTGATGGGCAACCAATGGACAACCCTAAACTTTATAGGAGTGTTGTTGGTGCATTGCAGCATAATACCATCACTCGACCTGAGATTGCCTACAGTGATAATAAACTTAGCCAATATATGCAAACACCATTACACACCCGCTGGAAGGCTCTAAAAAGAGTGCTAAGATATCTAGCTGGGACCCTCAACTATGGTCTTCACATAAAAGCAGGGCCTCTTCACTTAGGGGGCTTTGCAGATGTGGATTGAACCACAGATATGGATGATAGGAAATCCACAAGTGGTCACTGTGTTTTCCTAGGGCCCAACTTAATCACATGGAGTGCAAAAAACAAACAACTGTTTCTCGTTCAAGCACAGAAGCAGAATTCAGAAGTCTGGCCAGTGTTACTTGTGATGTCCTTTGGCTTCGAGGCTTGTTATATGAACTTGGTTTCTCTTCACTCAAACCTACTACCATTTGGGTTGACAACTTAGAGGCTGTTCACCTTTCTGAAAATCCCATCTTCCACTCCAAAACCAAACACGTTGGTATTGATTTTCACTTTGTTTGAGAACGGGTTCACTCAAAGGAGATAGTTGTTCATCATGTTCTATCTCTTGAACAAATTGGTGACATATTTACCAAACCTCTCCCTCTCTTGTTTTTTGTTTTTTTTCAGAGGACTCTTTCATCATCTCCAAAAGTGAGACTAATGTCCAAAAACATATGGTCTTGGATTCTTGGCATCGTAATAATTTCTGGTGTAGAAATCTAATACTTCACAGACTAGACGACACTATATATAATGTATATAGTCAAATTTAAGACATGCAAGGAGTTATGGAATTCCTTTGAGGTGAAGTACAAACCAGAAGATGTCAGGATTAAGAAATTTCTCGTTGGCAAATTTCTAAAGTACTTGATGGTTGGCATCAAGTTGGTGGTTAACCAATTACAAGAGATTTAAATCATCCTTTCGGATATGTTGGCCTAGAAATTGATTGTGGACGAAGCCTTTCTAGTGATGGCTATTGTTGAAAAGTTGTCTCCTTCGTGGAACAACTCCAAGAGTTATCTCATGCATAATCGAAAAGAAATGAAACTCAAGTATTTGATAGTTCGTCTTCGAATAGATGAAGATAGTTGAATATCCAAAGTATTGGCTAAATAAAGCGAGGTAGAGGCTAAGGCACACTTGGCCGAGCCAAGCTCAAGAACGAAACATAAAGCACTTCTCATGGCAAACCAAGATGGGGCATCAAGAAATCCAAGAGATGTCGTTATGATGGTAATGAACTCGGATACATTTCCGATATTTACTATTCTGAAGAGGGGTAAAGGATAGTGCGAATTGTCGAGGACAAGATAATACTTGTCAGAGCTCAATATTTCTGTCATGGTTCGAGTACATTCTTGATTAAATTCCACATTGATAGCGGATAAGAAAAAGAGCCATTTGACCAATAGACGCTTATAAATATTGTCCTACAACCCTAACTAAGGAATAAAGTATTTGTTAATTCTTCGACTTTAAGTGTTAGAGGAACTGACAAGGTATTGTGCTAAAAATTAATATTGGATATCATGGATGTTCTTCATGCCCAAGACATCCATAAGAATCTAGTTTTCGGACCATTAATTGAGTAAGGCCAAATTTAGATTAGTTTATGATCATCGACAAATATGTTTGTCGAAATATGATATATTCTTAGCATAAGTAGACCTTAATAAAGGTCATATTACAATTATTGTAAAAATTGTAATCTATTGATTGACGTAAAAGATAAATAACTTGGTCTTATTTATTGAGTATTCTAATTTATGGCATGACTTGCGAATTTTAACAGTAGAAGTTGGTGAATCTGAGTTGATTCATACAAAAAATATGAAAACCTTGTTAAAATAAAAAGTGGAAAATGCATCGTATTAAAAGGTTGCTAAATTGACTAGTCCTCTCAAGATAAGTCATATCGATAAACGTTATTTAAGAGTTTGTGCAGACTCGAGTCGAAAATATATTGTAAGAGTGCACAATGCATTGTCATAAAGCTTTTGTAGCTTTAAGCCACATAAGAATGATGTTGATATGCAATGAAATGGTTAAAAGAAATAATTACTCTTGAGTAGGTGATAATTTTTTATTAATCTAAAAGCTTATGTGATAAGCAATTATTACGACAAAACTGAAGCACCACACGAAGGTAGATACGAAACTCTGTTTGAGTTATAAAAAGAGCAAAAGCATTCGTACCTATACCTTGAAATGTTAAGGTGTTTAGGCCAAGGTGGAAATACCTAATTAATGACATGAAAGATTATTGAAATAATTTTATCGAATGGCTTCAAATTCATTGAATGACAAAATTAGTCTATAAAGGTTCTTCCAACTGTTTGTGATCGTAAGTCTTGTGTAGACAATATGATGATCTTGGAATATCATGATGTGTTCATGTACCAAGAAGATAAACTTTGACATTTAAAGATTGTGAAATTCCAACGTAAGTCTGGAGATTAAGATCCTAATAGATCAGAAGTAATTTGCCACAATCTCATCATGTCAAATGTATGTTGAAGAGGTTAAATGAGTTTGATAAAACCTCAAGCTTAAGTGAATGTAAAATTGACTCTACACTTAACTAATAATTTGAGAATAATTAGTTTCTCTGAAAAAGTATGTTGAATAATTCGAGGCTTGAGGTGCTTGTCGGATAGTACTCGTACTAATGTTGCATTTTAGTGAGCAAACCAAGATATCCACGAGTAAGTCGAGCGATGAATTTTGATCACGTTGAATCGAGTATTGGACATGAAAAACTGTAAGACTAAAAGTGACTAAGTGTTCACTTTAGGTGGGTAGAAGTAGTGTCATGAAATTAATCTAAGTATAAAGTTAGATCCGCAATGAAGTTCGAGTTTATAAATTTGGACATAATGTGTGGAAGAAGCTGATGACTTAGAAATTATCTAAAACATATTCCTAGGTGGAATAAACTGTGCTCATGGTAATGATTATTTATCAATCAGAAACTAGAAGAGTACAAAGTAGTTTGGACAATAGTAAGTCTATACATAAACGTCAGAGACTTAATTTCATAAGAAAATTATCTCGTGTGGGGGTTATATCGGTAGACTATGTGAAGTCAAAGATTAACCTAACTGATCCATTTACATAAAACATGAAACGAGATAAATTGTACAAGCTGGTTAGAGAAATGAGCTTAATAAAATCCACAACAAACGAACGGTCTTAACGGTAACCGAACCATGAGAATCGGAGATCCCGAAACCTTGGTTCAATGGGAAAACTAAGTTTTGGCAATTCAGTGAAACACTTGAAAAATTTATGCTCATTTCTAGAACCGTCAACTGTTAAAATCTGCCTAAGTGGTGAGGTTAAGTCGAAGACTTTTCATGATTCCTATACCTATGGGTGGAGTAAGGCAGGATACTCTTTAGAGATTAATTACCTTTGTAAGTGAGAAGTAAATTGGCCGCTTCAACTAACACTTACTAAACCGAGATATGGTCCAAGGCTGAAATGAACACAACGTGAAAACAAAAAAAAATTGTTAGAGCTGTTATTGTGTGAGTACTATTGTCTTGGTGCACACAAACAGCCGATAAGTTCAAAGCATCGCGCTACTAACCAGCTAGAATATCCAATACGATTCCCCTAAGAAAGATTCAAATACACAAGCTATCTATCCTGATGCAATGATTGTTCACCGGAACTCTCAAGTATTGCATACGTGCATTAATTTCATTCATGTAGGGGATTGTAAGAAAAAAATTAATTTTGTACCGATAATACGATTCTATTTTTTGTAATTGGAAGTATTAGAAAATTTTCAAAACTCTTTTTAAGGTGAATAAGAAATTAATTTTATGTGTTATATATTAATTAATTGAGTTTAACTAACTCAAAGGTTGTAGGGTTCACAAACACTATATTTTAACAAACTGAATGAGCCATAATTATGCATTGTGTATGCTAGAATTGTAGAAGGGCTCGTTGGGGACAAGTAGGAAAAAACAAAACTCGATTCTGAGTCTGTATGAGCTCGTACGAGCCCGCTGATGACGGATCGCGGTTTTTGTCTATTCGGTTGTGAGTAATCGCTCACTCATGGCCTTCGACTACACACGATAGGTGTGACTAACAGACGCTTTCAGGGCCTTCTCTTAGACACTGTGACTTCAAGACGCTCTAATGGCCTTCTCTCCGACACGATAGTATGATAAACACGCACTATGGCCTTGCTTATACACACATAGAACACAATGTTCCCCCTTTCTATTCACTCATCAATTTTCTGGATATTAAAAACAATGAGGGAAGCTTCCTATTTATAGATCCTAACTATGTCTAATCCTAATCTACTTAGGGAACTAATTAAGTAATAAAATATTAAATCCTAAATCTACTAGATCTCCTAATTACTTGGCTTGCACTCCAATTCCT